ACTACTACTTTTTTTCACAACACTTTAGAGAGACGCCAGTCACACAGCGGTCTCTCTGACACCAGCTGGACACGCTCAATGAAGGGCAAGTTCTTATTCCCAAGTTTTGCGCAAAGTTGCTGCTAGAGCTCTACAATTTGGACAGGTCATAGCCTGTGTCGGTGCGATACTTGGGAAAATACTAATAACTTTGTATCTTTTTAAACGGCCCTACAATCGGTGAATGAATTTGGAATTTTGGCTGACCTTGCTGCAGCTCATATATGTGACTCGTCACATGAAGGGCTTTCCAACGATACCTCTATCATCGCTCTACGACCTCGTTTGGCCGAGTTATAACACTTAACGAGGGGAGCGGTTTCAAACGGTTGTCGCCCCCTAGCTCCGCGGTGGAACATGGCAGGGACAAAAGCCGTACACCGTTGCGTTCGGCTGGCCAAGCCGGTTCCGTAGAGGTCTGATTTGTGCCTGTGCGACCTTCGGAACAGATTTTGGCCTTTGATCGCCTAGCTTTTTAGGGTAGGGTAAGGTTATACGGGTCTGAGACCGTCTTTAGCTTCTGGTCCAAAAACGGTCACTTGGACTTCCGAAGGGGTTAGACGCCTGAATTTTGGATATGTGGTAGAGGGCCACGAGACGAGTCCAACGGTGTAGGGTAGACCTCCGGGGGCCTTACGGTTCTCGGTGGGCGGGCCTTCGTTCGGTAAAAAATCTCACGCTAATTAAGCTCGTCACGGCTTCAAATTTAATGGAAACGAGTCCAAATTCGGCACACGCCCATTTCAACCCCGTCCGACCGAGAATCTAAAGTTTCAACCCGCTCGGACACTCGGTTGGCTACTTTGCTTCCTATTGGTCGGTTTGAGTGGGCGCCTACATATTCGAGCTCAGAATAGCCTGCTGTGTAACATAGTCAAAAATGAGGCTGGTAGTCCAAAGTTGAAATGTTGGCTAACCTCCCCTTTAATGTTAGGCTTTTGAAGGCCCAAAAAGTGCTTGGAGGCTTGTAAAAAGTTCAAATTTCATCCAAACTAGTCGAAACTTGGTACGCACCCTTCTACGTACAAGCTGAACATTAATCCAAAGTTTCGACTGGCTCGGCCACCCGCTTTGTAAAAGAGGAGGGTCTCGGTGGCCAGGAAAATCCAGGAAAGTCCTGATTTAGGTTGGAGGACAGCGCCACCTTGCTGCAGCTCATATATGTGACTCGTCACATCTAGGGCTTTCCAAGGACACCTCCGTTATCGTTCTACGACCTCGTTTGGCCGAGTAATTAGACTTAACAAGGCGCGTTTTTTAAAAAAAACGTCGCCCCCTAGCGCCGCGGTTGAACATCGCAGGGTCAAAAGCTTTACACCGTTGCGTTCAGCTCGTCGAGCCGGTTCCGTAGAGGGGTCGTTTGTGCCTGTGCGATTCTGACCACCTTTGAAAACCTAAGAAGGAATTTCTGTTTTTTTAGTAGTCTACTGCTAATGCTAATGCTACTGATACTGCTACTATCACTACTACTACTACTAGTCTACTGCTAATGCTAATGCTAATAATGATGGTGATGCTAATGCTAATGTTAATGGTGATGCTAATGCTAATGCTAATAATGATGGTGATGCTAATGCTAATGGTGATGCTAATGCTAATGCTAATGTTAATGTTAAAGCTAATGTTAATGGTGATGCTAATGCTAATGCTAATGCTAATGTTAAAGCTAATGTTAATGGTGATGTCAATGGGGATGCCAATGGTGATGCTAATGCTAATGCTAATGTTAAAGCTAATGTTAATGGTGATGTCAATGGTGATGCCAATGGTGATGCTAATGCTAATGCTAATGCTAATGCTAACTTAATGGGTTTTTGGGTCTCCTGCCAACCCAAACCAGTGGTAGGAGTGGCACTGCTCTACCACTACTACTTTTTTTCACAACACTTTAGAGAGACGCCAGTCACACAGCGGTCTCTCTGACACCAGCTGGACACGCTCAATGAAGGGCAAGTTCTTATTCCCAAGTTTTGCGCAAAGTTGCTGCTAGAGCTCTACAATTTGGACAGGTCATAGCCTGTGTCGGTGCGATACTTGGGAAAATACTAATAACTTTGTATCTTTTTAAACGGCCCTACAATCTGTGATTTTTGGAATTTTGGCTGACCTTGCTGCAGCTCATATATGTGACTCGTCACATGAAGGGCTTTCCAACGATACCTCTATCATCGCTCTACGACAAGCTACCCTAAAGTGCCCCCCACAGCAGCAGCGGGGCGCCTCATTAGCACTAACAAACTAATTTCATGGAGGGCTACTCTAAAGTGCCCCCCACAGCAGCAGCGGGGCCCCTAATTAGCACTAACGAACTAATTTAATAGAGGGCTACCCTAAAGTGCCCCCCACAGTAGCAGCGGGGCGCCTCATTAGCACTAACAAACTAATTTCATGGAGGGCTACTCTAAAGTGCCCCCCACAGCAGCAGCGGGGCCCCTAATTAGCACTAACGAACTAATTTAATAGAGGGCTACCCTAAAGTGCCCCCCACAGTAGCAGCGGGGCGCCTCATTAGCACTAACAAACTCATTTCATGGAGGGCTACCCCTAAAGTGCCCCCCACAGCAACCCCTACCTAGCACTGAAGAACTCAAAAAAACCCATTTCAACCTAAAGCTTCAAAAAATAAGATTAGAGCGCCCTCCGGTGGTTGCCCGTAAAAAAGTATCCTAAACCTCCAAAAAGATAACCCATTCCCGCATAGTTGCCCAAAATCCAGTGGCCTCGGAGCACAAGCGGCTACCTACCCCCTTATTCGGCAACCTCCCCATTCATTTTAGGTAGCCTTTTTCCAACTTTCCCTAAGGACCGTCGGCAATAGTTCCCAAACGGAAAGTCGCCCCCTCGCAGTTCTCGCAACGTCCCCGGTGTGGCGTACGTCCTCGGGATAGGCTCCTCCCATTTCCCCCCCCTAGTTCCACCCATTTCATTTGGGGTCAAATTTTTGTCATTATGTGCCAAAAGTCAGCATCGACCCGCCCTTCGGTGGGCGTGTCCCTCGGCGCAATACAACGCCGTTAGCTCCGAGCGATTTGCGCAAAGACGGCGTTTGCTTTTCGGGCTATTATGACAAGTGTTTCCATTAGGGCCCCTTTGCAGTGGCTATTATGACAAGTGTTTCCATTAGGACCCCTTTGCAGTGGCTATTAAAACAAGTGTTTCCATTAGGACCCCTTTGCAGTGGCTATTATGACAAGTGTTTCCATTAGGACCCCTTTGCAGTGGCTATTATGACAAGTGTTTCCATTAGGACCCCTTTGCAGTGGCTATTATGACAAGTGTTTCCATTAGGACCCCTTTGCAGTGGCTATTATGACAAGTGTTTCCATTAGGACCCCTTTGCAGTGGCTATTAAAACAAGTGTTTCCATTAGGACCCCTTTGCAGTGGCTATTATGACAAGTGTTTCCATTAGGACCCCTTTGCAGTGGCTATTAAAACAAGTGTTTCCATTAGGACCCCTTTGCAGTGGCTATTATGACAAGTGTTTCCATTAGGACCCCTTTGCAGTGGCTATTATGACAAGTGTTTCCATTAGGACCCCTTTGCAGTGGCTATTATGACAAGTGTTTCCATTAGGACCCCTTTGCAGTGGCTATTATGACAAGTGTTTCCATTGGACCCCTTTACAGTGGCTATTATGACAAGTGTTTCCATTAGGACCCCTTTGCAGTGGCTATTATGACAAGTGTTTCCATTAGGACCCCTTTGCAGTGGCTATTATGACAAGTGTTTCCATTAGGACCCCTTTGCAGTGGCTATTATGACAAGTGTTTCCATTAGGACCCCTTTGCAGTGGCTATTATGACAAGTGTTTCCATTAGGACCCCTTTGCAGTGGCTATTAAAACAAGTGTTTCCATTAGGACCCCTTTGCAGTGGCTATTATGACAAGTGTTTCCATTAGGACCCCTTTGCAGTGGCTATTATGACAAGTGTTTCCATTAGGGCCCCTTTGCAGTGGCTATTAAAACAAGTGTTTCCATTGGACCCCTTTACAGTGGCTATTAAAACAAGTGTTTCCATTAGGACCCCTTTGCAGTGGCTATTATGACAAGTGTTTCCATTAGGACCCCTTTGCAGTGGCTATTAAAACAAGTGTTTCCATTGGACCCCTTTACAGTGGCTATTAAAACAAGTGTTTCCATTAGGACCCCTTTGCAGTGGCTATTATGACAAGTGTTTCCATTAGGGCCCCTTTGCAGTGGCTATTATGACAAGTGTTTCCATTAGGACCCCTTTGCAGTGGCTATTAAAACAAGTGTTTCCATTGGACCCCTTTGCAGTGGCTATTATGACAAGTGTTTCCATTAGGACCCCTTTGCAGTGGCTATTATGACAAGTGTTTCCATTAGGACCCCTTTACAGTGGCTATTAAAACAAGTGTTTCCATTAGGACCCCTTTGCAGTGGCTATTATGACAAGTGTTTCCATTAGGACCCCTTTGCAGTGGCTATTAAAACAAGTGTTTCCATTAGGACCCCTTTACAGTGGCTATTATAACAAGTGTTTCCATTAGGACCCTTTGCAGTGGCTATTATGACAAGTGTTTCCATTAGGACCCCTTTGCAGTGGCTATTAAAACAAGTGTTTCCATTGGACCCCTTTCAGTGGCTATTATGACAAGTGTTTCCATTAGGACCCCTTTGCAGTGGCTATTAAAACAAGTGTTTCCATTGGACCCCTTTACAGTGGCTATTAAAACAAGTGTTTCCATTAGGGCCTTTTTACTAGGCCCTAATGGAAGTACTGTGTTTGTTGCAAAAAAAAAGTGCACTTTTTTTGTGTTCTTTTCTTTCATTAAAAAAGGAACTCATTATTTATGTTTTTTTTTTTTTACAAAACTTGTATGAAACATTTACAAAAAAATACACATTTAAAAATAATTTAACACATTTAAGAACAATTTAAAGGTTTAAGAACAATTTTACACATGAAAAACTATAAAACTACAACATATACATATTTACACATTTTTGTGGTTTCTCAGTTGTTTCTTTAACCCCCGCATGTCCATCAGCATTACTTTGGCCATTTTCATTGGCGAGTACTTGGATTTGATCCGTCTTGCCACTTCTGTAGTCTATAAAGAGGAAACACAAAAAATCAGGAAAGACCACAACATTTGAAGTTATGCTCAAATGAAAAACGTATCACTCACATTGCTCGGGGAGTGTGTCCGCTTTAGGGCGGCGTCTCCAGTCCCCCTGGCAGCCCCAAGCAGCCGGCGACGCACTTTTCCCAGGCCTGGGGAACGGACGGCGGCGGAGGCGGAAAGGCCTACGGCGGCGGAGGTGGAAGGGCCGGCGGCGGAGGAGGACGCAGGCCCAGAAGGCACAGGAGGGGCCTTGTTCACGCAGCTGAGTGCAACAAAGCACTGCCGCATCTCCTGTGCCTTCTGAACAGTTTTGTATAGGGCATAGAACCGCTCCTGGGTCTCAAGAGTGTGGCACATGAATTGTGCCACACTCTCCCTTGTGCTCTTGTCTGCGTTCTGTTCGAAGTTCTGGAGAGAAAAGTAAAATAAGTGAGAAACCTAGACGATAGCAATGGGTTCATCATTCTTTTCAACGTACATATGTGGACATGGCCGTGCGGATGTCCAAGAAGCCGGGCTGGCCCTGGAGCCCCATGTCCTGCCATGCCCTCATCATATACCGATGCAAGTCCTTCATTACTCCTTTTCCAGTGTTGGAAAAGAAGTACGCGTTGCTGGGGACGCACCGATTTCGCAGCTTCAGCCACCGGAGGCACCACCCGTATTCCTCCGCCGTGAGATATATCTGGGCCACTCCATACCGGTGGCTTGTTTTTGTGGTTGGAAAAATGAAAGTGTATAGCATTTCTGTAATGGGCGTTTCACTTCTGGACGGAAATGGATCTTACGTTCACAAGGTAGCCGGTTTCATCGTTTCCCTGGGCCTCCCGTACCTCCCTGGCCAGCAGGTTTGTGTAGACACACGACCTGTGGCCATATATGGAGGCCAGGTAGACTGCCAGGTAGGCCGACAGGTGGCCGAAGAAACGGAACCGGCTTCCACAGTCGTCCACACTCAAAATGTCAGGTTAAGGCAAGGCAAGTTTATTTGTATAGCACAATTCATACACAAGGCAACTCTAAGTGCTGAACAAGATAGCATTAAAATCATAAATAATCCCAGAACATTAAAAAGAAAGATAAAAATATAAAATCCCTCAGTTGTATGCACAGCTAAACAGCACCGTTTTTAACCTGGTTTTAAACATTGTCAGAGAGGAGGCCTGTCTCACATCTTCAGGAAGATTGTTCCAGATTTTAGCATCATGAATCTGAAAAGCAGCCTCCCCATGTTTAGTTCTGACTCTGGGCACTAACAGGAGTCCAGTCCCTGTGCTCCTCAGAGTCCGGGCTGGTTCATATGGGACTAACATGTCACTAATATATTTTGGTGCGAGGCCATGGAGAGACTTGTAACAAGCAGAGCTGTTTTAAAGTCACAGGAAGCCAGTGCAGGGACCTGAGGACTGGACTAATGTGGTCGTACTTCCTGTTTCTAGTCAGGACTAATGTGGTCGTACTTCCTGGTTCTAGTCAGGACTAATGTGGTCGTACTTCCTGGTTCTAGTCAGGACTAATGTGGTCGTACTTCCTGGTTCTAGTCAGGACTAATGTGGTCGTACTTCCTGGTTCTAGTCAGGACTAATGTGGTCGTACTTCCTGGTTCTAGTCAGGACTAATGTGGTCGTACTTCCTGGTTCTAGTCAGGACTAATGTGGTCGTACTTCCTGGTTCTAGTCAGGACTAATGTGGTCGTACTTCCTGGTTCTAGTCAGGACTAATGTGGTCGTACTTCCTGGTTCTAGTCAGGACTAATGTGGTCGTACTTCCTGGTTCTAGTCAGGACTAATGTGGTCGTACTTCCTGGTTCTAGTCAGGACTAATGTGGTCGTACTTCCTGGTTCTAGTCAGGACTAATGTGGTCGTACTTCCTGGTTCTAGTCAGGACTAATGTGGTCGTACTTCCTGGTTCTAGTCAGGACTGGAGCTGCTGCATTTTGAATGTACTGCAGCTGTTTTACAGCCTGTTTGGACAGACCTGTGAGCAGGCCATTGCAGTAGTCTAACCTACTGGAGACAAATGCATGGATAAGAATCTCCAAGTCTGCTTTAGACACTATGTTTTTGATCCTGGCAATGTTTTTAGATGGTAAAAAGCTGCTGATGTTACTGATTTGATGTGGCTATTAAAATTTAAGTCTGAGTCCAGTATTACCCCTAGATTTCTGACCTTGTTTGAAGGTTTTAGGGAGAGAGACTGTAGGTGACAGATGACGCTCTCTCTTTGTTTCTGGGGACCAAAGACAATCATTTCAGTTTTGTCTGCGTTTAGCTGAAGGAAGTTGTTTTGCATCCACTCACTGATCTTAACACATTTTGAAGATGCAGGTGACTGAGGCTGTAGACCCAGGACTGAGGCTGTAGACCCAGGACTGAGGCTGTAGATCCCAGGACTGAGGCTGTAGACCCAGGACTGAGGCTGTATCCCAGGACTGAGCCTGTAGACCCAGGACTGAGGCTCTAGACCCAGGACTGAGGCTGTAGACCCAGGACTGAGGCTGTAGACCCAGGACTGAGGCTGTATCCCAGGACTGAGCCTGTAGACCCAGGACTGAGGCTGTAGACCCAGGACTGAGGCTGTAGACCCAGGGCTGAGGTTGTAGACCCAGGACTGAGGCTTTAGACCCAGGACTGAGGCTGTAGACCCAGGACTGAGGCTGTAGACCCAGGACTGAGGCTGTAGACCCAGGACTGAGGCTGTAGACCCAGGACTGAGGCTGTAGACCCAGGACTGAGGCTGTATCCCAGGACTGAGCCTGTAGACCCAGGACTGAGGCTGTAGACCCAGGACTGAGGCTGTAGACCCAGGACTGAGGCTATAGACCCAGGGCTGAGGTTGTAGACCCAGGACTGAGGTTTTAGACCCATGGCTGAGGCTGTAGACCCAGGACTGAGGCTATAGACCCAGGGCTGAGTCTGTAGACCCAGGACTGAGGCTATAGACCCAGGACTGAGGCTATAGACCCAGGGCTGAGTCTGTAGACCCAGGACTGAGGCTATAGACCCAGGGCTGAGTCTGTAGACCCAGGACTGAGGCTATAGACCCAGGGCTGAGTCTGTAGACCCAGGACTGAGGCTATAGACCCAGGACTGAGGCTGTAGACCCAGGACTGAGGCTATAGACCCAGGGCTGAGTCTGTAGATCCAGGACTGAGCCTGTAGACCCAGGACTGAGGCTGTAGACCCAGGACTGAGGCTCTAGACCCAGGACTGAGGCTGTAGACCCAGGACTGAGGCTATAGACCCAGGACTAAAGCTCTGGACCCAGGACTGAGGTTGTAGACCCAGGACTGAGGTTTTAGACCCAGGGCTGAGGCTGTAGACCCAGGACTGAGGCTGTAGACCCAGGACTGAGGCTGTAGACACAGGACTGAGGCTATAGACCCAGGGCTGAGGTTGTAGACCCAGGACTGAGGCTTTAGACCCAGGATTGAGGCTGTGGACCCAGGACTGAAGCTCTGGACCCAGGACTGAGGCTGTAGACCCAGGACTGAGGCTTTAGACCCAGGGCTGAGGCTGTAGACCCAGGACTGAGGCTGTAGATCTAGGACTGAGGCTGTATCCCAGGACTGAGCCTGTAGACCCAGGACTGAGGCTCTAGACCCAGGACTGAGGCTGTAGACCCAGGACTGAGGCTGTATCCCAGGACTGAGCCTGTAGACCCAGGACTGAGGCTTTAGACCCAGGATTGAGGCTGTGGACCCAGGACTGAAGCTCTGGACCCAGGACTGAGGCTGTAGACCCAGGACTGAGGCTGTAGACCCAGGACTGAGGCTCTAGACCCAGGGCTGAGGCTGTAGACCCAGGACTGAGGCTATAGACCCAGGACTAAAGCTCTGGACCCAGGACTGAGGTTTTAGACCCAGGGCTGAGGCTGTAAACCCAGGACTGAGGCTATAGACCCAGGGCTGAGGTTGTAGACCCAGGACTGAGGTTTTAGACCCATGGCTGAGGCTGTAGACCCAGGACTGAGGCTGTAGACCCAGGACTGAGGCTGTAGATCCAGGACTGAGGCTGTATCCCAGGACTGAGCCTGTAGACCCAGGACTGAGGCTCTAGACCCAGGATTGAGGCTGTGGGCCCAGGACTGAAGCTCTGGACCCAGGACTGAGGCTGTAGACCCAGGACTGAGGCTGAATCCCAGGACTGAGCCTGTAGACCCAGGACTGAGGCTCTAGACCCAGGACTGAGGCTGTAGACCCAGGACTGAGGCTGTAGACCCAGGACTGAGGCTCTAGACCCAGGACTGAGGCTTTAGACCCAGGATTGTGTTTGTGGACCCAGGACTGATGCTCTGGACCCAGGACTGAGGCTGTAGACCCAGGACTGAGGCTGTAGACCCAGGACTGAGGCTGTAGATCCAGGACTGAGGCTGTAGACCCAGGACTGAGGCTGTAGACCCAGGACTGAGGCTGTATCCCAGGACTGAGCCTGTAGACCCAGGACTGAGGCTCTGGACCCAGGACTGAGGCTGTAGACCCAGGACTGAGGCTGTAGACCCAGGACTGAGGCTCTAGACCCAGGGCTGAGGCTGTAGACCCAGGACTGAGGCTGTAGACCCAGGACTGAAGCTCTGGACCCAGGACTGAGGTTTTAGACCCAGGGCTGAGGCTGTAAACCCAGGACTGAGGCTATAGACCCAGGGCTGAGGTTGTAGACCCAGGACTGAGGTTTTAGACCCAGGGCTGAGGCTGTAGACCCAGGACTGAGGCTGTAGACCCAGGACTGAGGCTGTATCCCAGGACTGAGCCTGTAGACCCAGGACTGAGGCTCTAGACCCAGGACTGAGGCTGTAGACCCAGGACTGAGGCTGTAGACCCAGGACTGAGGCTGTAGACCCAGGACTGAGGCTCTAGACCCAGGACTGAGGCTGTAGACCCAGGACTGAGGCTGTAGACCCAGGACTGAGGCTCTAGACCCAGGACTGAGGCTGTAGACCCAGGACTGAGGCTGTGGACCCAGGACTGAGGCTCTGGACCCAGGACTGAGGCTGTAGACCCAGGACTGAGGCTGTAGACCCAGGACTGAGGCTGTAGACCCAGGACTGAGGCTTTAGACCCAGGATTGAGGCTGTGGACCCAGGACTGAAGCTCTGGACCCAGGACTGAGGCTGTAGACCCAGGACTGAGGCTGTAGACCCAGGACTGAGGCTGTAGACCCAGGACTGAGGCTGTAGACCCAGGACTGAAGCTCTGGACCCAGGACTGAGGCTGTAGACCCAGGACTGAGGCTGTAGACCCAGGACTGAGCCTGTAGACCCAGGACTGAGGCTCTAGACCCAGGACTGAGGCTGTAGACCCAGGACTGAGGTTTTAGACCCAGGGCTGAGGCTGTAGACCCAGGACTGAGGCTGTAGACCCAGGACTGAGGCTGTAGACCCAGGACTGAGGCTATAGACCCAGGGCTGAGTCTGTAGACCCAGGACTGAGGCTATAGACCCAGGGCTGAGGCTGTAGACCCAGGACTGAGGCTGTAGACCCAGGACTGAGGCTCTAGACCCAGGACTGAGGCTGTAGACCCAGGACTGAGGCTGTA